CATATTTGGTTGGATAGATGTGAGTTTGTGACCCTGGGTTTCACGCTTTAGCGATCGTCAGAAACTGACGATCGCTAAAGCGTGAAACCCAGGGTCACAAACTCACATCTATCCAACCAAATATATATATATATATATATATATATATATATATATATATATATATATATAAAGAAAGAACGGTAAGATATATAATCCGAGTTCTTATTGATATTTTTATTTGTTACAAAACGGTGCTCAATGTAAATTTAAAGAGCATAAATAATATAAATTAACTGATTTAAAATATGTTTTTTCGCTACACAGTAATAACCATGTTTCAAAACTGAAGCTAAAACTTAAAATTTAATTATATAATTAAATTAAAAGCATTAGTTCTGTTTCATCTTTCAGCGAAATAACTTATTTTTAACTCATAATTGATACAACAATAGTTAATAAAAATGAACACACTACCACCCCTGTCTAAATGATTGGATTTCTCTGTATCCTTGGAAACAGGAAATTATGAATTTATATGTTCGTTTAAAACTCAGTATATTTAAAAATAAGTTATTCCAAAATTCACTTGAAGATGAAACAGAACTAATGCTTTTAATTTAATTATATAATTAAATTTGAAGTTTTTAGCTTCAGTTTTTTGAAACATGGTAATTCCTGTGTAGCTAAGTAAGCATATTTTAAATCAGTTAATTTATAATATATATATATATATATATATATATATATATATATATATATATATATATAAATGAAATCAGAACGAATCAAATAATTCAAACGTTCATAACATTAATTTAAATTAGGGCTCAATACAATTAAATAGTAAAGCAATATTCTTTATTATAGGATATTACATTAGAACAGGTATAAAACGGCTACATAAATGCGGTCATGTTTCGATGTATATGATCTCATCAGGCGGTAGTAAAAGCCTGATGAGACGATATACATCGAAATATGACTGCATTTATGCAGTTGTCTTATACATTCTCTAATGTAATTGCCTATAATAAAGAATATAATAATATGTATTCACAATAACCTACATGGTCATGCGAGTTTTACTGTTTTCCTTAATTAAGGTCATTACAGAGAGAAAAACAATGAAATAAGAAAAATTCAGCAATATCAACATTTAGAGACTTTCGTAATTTCCTATAGTAAAGAATATATATATATATATATATATATATATATATATATATATATATATATATATATATATATATATGTCTGATTGAATAAATTACAGACATTATATCTGCTAATTTTTAATAAAATCTGTTCATACTCACGAATAACCTTCCATGTATTGATGTTAAAGGATGAAAGAAATGTGCTATAACTGTTTATTTTATTTTTATTTCCCAAGTACTTTCGATCTTCTTCCAAGATCATCTTATTGATGCAAGTGGTACAAAATTATATGTTATTCATTAGTATAAGTATTTATATAAATACTTATATTAATGATAATGAGAAGATCGAAAGTACTTGGGAAATGAAAATAAAATAAATTTAAACAGCTACAGCACATTTCTCTCAAACTTTAACATCAATTCACCGAAGGTTATTCATGAGTATGAACGTATTTTTATTAAAAATTAGCAGATATAATGTCTGTAATTTATTCAATCAGACATGACTAAAAGAGAGTTTACTGCCTAAACACACACACACACACACACACACACACACACACATATGTATTACACTGAATCATTCATACAAAAGTTAGATTAGTAAAGTTAATGATATAAATGGCGAAACAAAGATTTCGCCATTTTATATCATTAACTTTACTAATTACTACTTAATTTTCCCTAAGAAAGTTCTCCACTGCCTTAACCGGGTATTGAACTCACACTCTTTGGGTCCTGTCACTGGATCTAACTAACGCCTTTATTCACTGTGCCATGTGTCCTTGAGCTCAGCTAGACATTCCAATCACCTGAAGAAGGCCAGAGCGTACAATGGCCGAAACGTCGCAATAAATATGGTGACAAAGATGAGGACAATAGTCCGAATAATGTAAATAATTTATTTTCCCTATAATTGTTCTTGTTATATAAAAAGAGTATATATCGTTATAAACACACACACACACACATATATATATGTGTGCGTGTGTGTGTGTATGTATGTAAGTATAGACAGGTAAAAGAATTCTTCAATTTTTTAAAAAAAGCAATTCCCTTGATAAATCAGTAAAAAAAATACAATTGAAAATAATTTCTCCAAAATAAACATATTTTTACAACTACTTCAAAACAGTATGGGATTTGAAAACACAAAATAAATTATTAGAAAACTAACCACCTGAAACATGAATTAAGAAAAAAAGTACAAAAAATAACTCAAGAAAAACATAGGAGAGACATCTCGGACTTTAAATAAAAGACTTGATGAACATTACTAAGAAAACTTTTACAGCAACATTCACACAAGTCATCGTTCGACGTAATGTAACTGACCGTAATTTTGACTTATAGAATGC